ATGGCTGGAGAAGTTCTCTACTATCTTCAACTCTTATCTTCTACTCTATTCAACCTGCACATTGTTACATTGTTACATTACACTTTCATACACCATAACCAAGCTTTACACCCAGTGGCATCACTGTTTGTTTTCTTGTGTGACAAAGTGGAATGGCATCATTTTTGCAGACCTGTCACTGCAGCAGAGGGTGACAGTGTTCATAAAATAATAGATTTAAGGAATCTTGTTGTACTCATTTTAGAATGTGTCTGTAAGAGAGGCTTGGGAAACACAGAGCAAGAATGTGCAGCATTACAAGAAACAAAGAGGATTCCATTAGGCTATTCATATTAATTAATATAATATACTGTTAGTCTGCAACTGTTGGTTTAAAAATCTATGTCTTTGTATTTTGCATTTTATTTTGTGTTTATTTCCCTGAGTAAACCATGCAATTAGGTACCACTATATGATACCTTTGCTACTTTAAAACAGTAATATTGCAATGTGGTAGTTTTGTACAGCATTATAGTCTCAGAGAGTATTCAGAATAGCATCTTGTTAGCTACAGATAATACAGTTTTTGTTGAAGATGTACAGATGACTTCATTCTGTAGGGGATTAAACCAATTTTCTAAATGGTCCAATCCTTGTCAACTTGTATTTTGTAGTGGTTGTCATGGAAAATTATGTAGTCATTACAGATATAAAGCTGGTAATGGAATATAAGTTATTTCATTAGGGTATGTTCTTCATCCTGTGTATATATCACCTTTGAAAATAAGAAATTTGTTTTATTTTTTTGTTTGTTACCTTAGAATGAGCTGATTTTACAAATGCTGCAGGGTCACGTCCCGCAGGGGCTGCCATATTGAACGACCATGTTTCTACAGTGGCCCACAACAGACAAACCAAACACCTGCTCTACATCTACATAGGGCCGTTTTTATGTGGCCACTGTAGTTTCTCCGTGACAGTTGGAAAGGGACAGTAAAACAAGAATTGCAATCTGTAACTACACTGCTAGATGCCACTAAATCCTACACACTGGACCTTTAAGACTTTTACATTAACAGACCTTATCATTTCCTTTTGCAACCATATATTGTTTGCATGGAAACTAATAAAGATATTTTTTAATTATTTAAGATTATGAAATATTGTGTCCTGTCACAAAAATGTAAACAAAAAAATAAAATCATTAAAATTAAAATGTACTACTCTACAACTACTCTAAAAGCACCACACTGATGAAATTAAATTTCCTGAGAGGACATAAACTTTTGAAAACAGTTCTCTATTATACCAATATGGCTCCTACAGTTATCAGGTGAGGACCCCTCCTGGTACCAAGAATTACTGTTTTTCTATTAAGACTGCATCATTAGACACAAAGTCTGTCCTCCTCACTCCAGCTCTGTGTCTAATCATGGCCAAGGAAGGGAGCTCTGAATCTCTTCCTCCTTCACAACTCCCCACCAATGTCTTCTCCACCGGACTCCAATCAAAGGGAGCAGAGGCCATTAGGCGGCTCTGGACCTCCTTTTCATTATAATTACACCCTCCTGGATTGACCGAGCACCAGCTAGCCCTCTGCTATTTGCGGTAATTAGTCCAGAATGTGAGCTGTCAACACGCAAAAATCATGCCAGTAGACCCACAATGCCACAGCCACCCCCACTGTGTTCAACAACAAGCACCTAGCCTCGGCCACTGGAATGTATTAACTTTCTCCTCTTTTTTTTTCCCTCGGCGACTCATGTCAAATCCAGGTCCCTCAGAACAAAATCTTAATAATTAACTGGCAAATTTTAACATGATTGCTTGTGACACACCTACTCTGGTAATTACTGCTTTGAGGCCATGTGCTAATGAAATTAATGCATTCATTGCCCCAACAAATTAGCATAACTCATACAAATGGCCCACATTTGAGACCCCATTGCAAAACCGGAAAACAACATACAAGAAAAAGCAGCATTAACAAGAAAAAAAGCTTGAAAATGAAATGGTTGGCTCACTGAATTGGAGACTGTATGATGAGCACTGCCTGCTCAAAGTCTTAATAGCTAAAGCCTCTTAATGTTAACCAAGGGTGATTGCAGTAATGCATTACACAGTGATAGCAGTGCAGGACCAAATGATTATCACGATCATCATTATAGTCATTGCTAATCTACATATACATCCCTCTCTGGACAAATATTAAATGGCCATGCCACTGCAGACATTAAAATGTTATTATACTGATGCATTAACTTACTGCAGCAAAGTTCATATCAATATAGAGTAGAAGCTTCCCAACAATCATTCTCTAAATGGCACAGCTGCCACTCGCAGCATTCACCAGTCCTGCCACTAACCCCTGTTCATGGCTGTTTGGTCTCTCAGTGGGATGTCTCTCAGACATTTACTGCTTGGCATTAATAATTGATGATGATGCCATCGGTACAATTGACGAAGACAAGTGCAACGGTCAGTTGGAGATGCTGCAAAAGTGCAAGAAATGTCCCCTGTTAGGTAAAAGAAGAGCAGAGATGGTTGTAACACCTAAAAAATGTGTTTGCCTGCAGCCAAATACTGTCAGGGACACAGAAAAAATGAAAATGGCTTCCATTTAAACAACACTGAGTTATATTATTACAGTCAGGTGAGAGTATACAGGTTAGCATGACACCTCACGGTAGTATCTCCACAAACTCTTTATATATGATGGGCACATTGTTTTGTACAGCAAATCAGTAGTATTAGTATCATTTAAGGTTATCTTAGGTTTGGTCCAATGCACAATATATGATTAAGTATAAAAGTGAAGTGAAGAGAGGGTTTTTTATACTTAAACTGAAATTAAAATTATTTTTTTGTTAAGAAATCAGTATATATGTAATTGATGTTTTTCATTTTAATTAACAAAAAAAGGAAATTAAACTTATATTTTTGTAGCAACACTGCCTCTATATTAGTGTTTGATCTGAGTTTGGTACGTTGCGCTGGACAGACTCACTGAGAATAACTTGTGAGTCACAAGGTAGCCATGCCCTAAATACCCTGCTTTACTGTCTATTTTACTGTAAAGTGGACCATCATTTACTAAATGAACCTAATGCTGTATGGAAGAAGACTTGACACTAGAGATTGACCATAAACTCATTAGAAAACTGTTTACTGAGCTAATAAATCAAGTCATAAGCAGGCAAATTTATCCATAAGACTCCATACTATCAGTTTTTTTTACAGCCCATGGAGCTGCCCCCTGATGGCCATTGCATAGAATGCAGGTTTAAGACACATCCGCGTTGTTTTACTTCACAGACCCAGAAGCTCTGTCCAATATATATAGGCTACTGTCAATGATCTGGACCCATGAAACAGAGACAGTGTGTGGGAGCACTCAGCAGGTGTTCCAATTATGAGTTGCATCTAAACAGCTGCTAAAGTTGGAAAGCTAAGCTAAGGACTCAGTAGGTGCACACTGGTACCTGTGGAAGTGGAAGCTAAGTAGCCTAGCTAGGCTAACTAGACTTACTTACTGACTTACTACTAACTACTTACTAACTATTCAGAAAGTAAGAGCTAGTAATAAGCTGGCTAACTAGCTTCCACTTTCTGAGAGGACTACAAAATTAACAGCACAATTGTCCCACCCAAATATTGACTGTTGTAAAGTGATACAGGTCTTAAATCGCTGGTTGATGGTTGACAACCAGCGCTATATGGGTTTGTATCAGCATTCGTAGGATATATGATCATGGCTTTCTCCAGTCAGTAGAGCCCCACAAACGCTAACAACACGTCTCCTAGCAACCCTGGCTCTCAATTGTTGCCATAGGAAACACCCACCCCAAGGCTTGATGCTTAAATGCTGTTTCTACAAATAAGTCCCAAAAAAGTTCTATCCTCTGTAGAAAAATATGCACAGTACCTGCTGTATCATTACAGTTTATATTTCCTTACACAAAAAAATAAGAAGAGATCAAAGTTCAGTTTGACTTTAAAACCTGTGCCCTAGAAACATACACATCACCCTGTGGGTAACCATCTCCAGCTGTATGTAACAGAGACATGTTGTGTGCTAAAAGAAAACAACATCACACTCGGGACCAATTGCTCTTTGGCCCCAAACGGAGACAAACACAAATTCCAAGATGAATAACAACAACCAGTGGAGACTTCCCCACAGACTAAATGTTTCATTTAACTTTCATTAGTGTGTGAATCTGTGTGTGCGCATGATTTCATGTTTAAAATATCTTAAAATCCTGAAAGGTCATTGGCAGAGTTACTGTGACATTTTCTTCCACAGAGTGGATTCCTCCCATACATACACAAAAGAACAGACAGCAAAGATCACATTTTCAACCTGCCGCTGTAGAGCAAACAATGAATAAAACACTCAGTAGCCAGCTTTGACCCACTGCACAAGCATGAATACATACAACACATCAACAGCATACTTCCTAATCTGAGATGGTTAGTAATGTGGCCACCTTATCCAGCATGCAACCCCATCTGTGATGACACATCAGCTCCACCATTTCATACGAATAAACTCACAAACACAAGGCACAATGTGTTGACGGAAAATTTGCATTAAGAATGTACCACAGGAAAGCGTGATTAATTTCTGCTCATGAAATGAATACAGATTTTGTCATTACATGGCTTGTATCCTTTGCCAAATATTGTAATGTTTCTCCCTCCTTTTCCGCAGCGAGTGTTCTGCTGCAATAATAAGGAATAAAAGACAGCTTACAGCTCATAAGCAACACAACTGCTGGCAAATCAGCTAAATCACCGAGCAAAACAAAGACCTGATTGCTCATTAGTATTATGGATCTGCTCTGTTTAAATCTGTTTTGTGAGATGCAGCCACTGTTTAATGACTTAAACGGTGTTTGTTTAAATGCTTGCTACCTACATTTCACACGGTAAGATTAAAAGAATGAGACATCATCAGATATCTCACTGAATGTTTATAATACCCCCCCTCTCAAACACACATACATCAATACACTTACCTTGGCTTTGCAGACAATGCATCTCAGCCTGTCTTCACTCCCACATCCCTGTAAGGAAACAATATTTAAAACTAATTTAGGGACAGTAAAACACCAAAACAACAGTTCTAAAGCTGGACTTACTGCAGAATGACATGCTTGAGCGACAAATCATTTGTTTGTGTTTTGATCAATAAACTAATTATGTTTGTTTGGGAACTGTGATTGCATCTTTAACTCAAAGGTGCATTATACATAATAATGCTAATTTAATTACAGTGCTAAAAAACCTCTATAGTACAGTGGCCCTGATGTGCAAAACACATGTCTCCAAAGACAACAACAAATAGGAAAAAACAACAACATTTCATATTGTTGTTATGTATTCTGTTTTGTTATTGTGTTTTGTCCAATGTAGTTTTGTGTTGCACCTCTGGGCCACCATAGTAATCACTCGTTATACATACATAACTAGATGTTGTTTTAATGCATGCACTTCATGTAACACTTCACATGACAGAACTGCACATGAAACAAAAATAACAAGTTGGCAAAACTCCTCAAGCTGGTGCTAACTATCTGAAGATGCTAATAACAGGAAAAGCATTTGTACAAACACAAACTGCCAAATCCACTGCTAATATGCATGGCATGTAGGAGCACATTTTGATAGATGTTAATGGCATATAATTATAGAACATTGCTATTAGGCAATGTGATTTTATAAAGAGGACCATTGCCCCTGGCACTGTGGCCTGATTGCTGTGAGTGTTGGGCTAATGAATGTAAACCAAGTCTGTTTGCAGTGACGAGAATCAACCCATGAGAGATAGACAGAGTGAGAGATGGTGGGGTGGGATGGAGGGGGGTTGCTTAACTCACTATTCACACCACTCATAATTAAAGCGAAATATAGGCATGCATGCTCACAGTCAAAGGCATGCTTTCTGACATAAACACACACACAAAAACACTAATGTCACATATGAAAAACATGTCTAATACATGTCAGTATATAAACTCATCAACTTGTGTTTTTATCTGTTCACAATTTGGTCAGTGCTTCACTCTCCACTGAATCAATGCTATATTTAGCTAGCAATGGTAGCAGTTTCATAAACCCTCTCCTCACTTCTTTCCCCCGTAACGGTGTATTTTATTTCAGATGGATGGGATGACAAATTTTGAAGAGCAATTTTTTGCGGAATACTATTCCCATTAACTTCAATAGAGTGAAACCAGATGTATAAAAATGAAAAACAGATTTATCTGTCGGGAAAGCGAGTGTATACCATTACTTTCCAAAAGCCTGCGTCCTTGCTCTGTATATTCTCAAGCCGTCGTTGGGTTGGGCAGTGAGACACACCAGGCCACACTCGGCTGGTGCGGTACGAGCCATACAGTCCTCCCATGCCCTTGTACTTTGTACTGCAAGGGGTTTCACCCCTCTAGGAATGCACTCCCTATAATGAGGGTCAGGGGTCAAAGTGCTGCTGCGCCTGGAGGCCGGGATCTCCTAGGCACACTCAGTCACTGACTCTGTCCCTATATTTAAATCCTGCCTCAGGACATGTTTTTCAAAGGGCATCTCCTAACTAGTTCCTGGTTACTAATTAGTTTTGTGCCATGCTATTTGTCTTTGGGAACCTGGGAAGGAGAGGGGGGGCACAAATGAGGCAGTCTAAAAAAAGATAGCGTATGGTTTGCCTCAGTGCAGATGATAATCATTCAGATAGTCCTCTACTGCAAACACGCTGAAGTATGTATCAACAGTTGTGGAAATGAATGCCAGCGCCGTTTTGTTGCGTTTGAGTTCAGCCTGCCCGTTGTTTAGTGACAACATCTGTGTGATGCTGTTGTGGGTGAAATTAAATAAGGACGTGGAATTTGCCCTTTTTTGTTCAAGCTGCTTTTAGCACTGGTAATAGTGCATGCTATCACTCCCAGCTGGCTGGCTCTCTCTCTCTCTCACAAGTCAAATCATTATTGGATTACATTTTCTGGCTTCATAAAATGCGGTTAAGAGGCACTTTAGACATATGTGCATGACCTGCTTTCCAGAGATGGCTATCAGAGCAAAAGTGACAGGTCAATTGCTGATTTCTGTTCCGTAAAAGGGAAAGGGGCTCCCTACCCTGAGCACTCTAAAAGGTCGCACACACTCTCGCTCTCTCCCTCTCTCTTTCTCTCTGTCTGCTTCTCTCACACACAAAAAACTAAAGTAGTCTTGTAGCATCAGCACACACTCTCAACAGAGAGCTGGGTTCTGTGAGTGTGTGCTTCATGAGCCTGAGTTTGTGTGTCTGTATATAATTGTATAGTGGGAAGACACACACTTAATGGAAGTGGCTCTTCACTCTGACAGCTGGGTGGTGCAGATGAAAGGTCTGCTGTAGCATGTTGTCTACCACTTGTGGAGTATCCAAAGAGACCCAAAGCATACAGGAGTGGACGGCGCAACAGCAAACGATTCAGCAGCAGACACACATTTTATCCTTGATTCACATACAATGATTGTATGTGATAATAACTAATTCATATATTATGCACAGCGAATTGGCTTACAGATACAGTATATTCTGCTACAGAATTAGATCTAGATGTTATCATTTAGACTTGCACTCTGTGTGTGCCTCATATGGGAGCAGATAGTACAGATACTGTACAGTATAAAAGTGCATAAGTGACACAGATTGAATTAATTTTCAGATGATCTGCTCTTTGGCTCTCTAGTCAAAGTGGTACTCGAGAGATTTAGTACTGCACTTATATAAAGCTGGGTGACTTGCAAGATACAGATTTAAAACATAATGGTCAAAACTGTTAGACCAGATTCCTATCCTGACCTGAAGTACCTATTATGGATGAAGCGCCATAAATTCTGGATACTACACTTCCCACAAGGCGACCCTCCCTGCCTGTTAAATGCCCACACAACTCCATGCTCCCACTTTGTAACACAATCTTTTGTGTTAAAAAAACACTGTTGTCTCAAAGCCCAAGCCTAGATAACTCTGATGACCTCATCAGGGTTGTTTTCTCAGGCTTAACAAAGGTCCCCCAGAGCAACATAAAACTATATACAACAGTTTGTCCTCCCCACAACTAGGCAACGAATCTTGACATGTGAAATTGGTGGACTACCCTTCAACTGGCTCTCTATTTTGAACTGGCAGTTTAACCACATACTTAATGCTGAATCTATCTGTTTTTTGCAACACAGGGACAGTTGAACTCCACAACAAGCTAAATATCACATATGTTTGACCTATTATGACTTTGTAAAGTGGATATGGTCTGTTTTTGTCTCTACCAACTCCTGAGAAACATATCTGTCTCTTTATTGCTGAATGCTCCACTATGTTCACCAGCTAGTAGGTAACTTTTTTGTCCATAGTTTATGGTGGGTCTATCTGAGTTTGATAACAGCTGCTGATAACAGCTGCCAGCTGCTGTTGAAACAGGATTGATAAGAATGGTGAACCAAAACAGTAAAGTTGCTGCATAACTGCAGAGTTGGGTGATACATAAGTTCAGGACTAAAAGCGACCCTTTTCATATTACACATTCACTGTTACTGTTCATAGAAAGAAGGGATTAATGGACCTTTATTTTACAGAATATTGTACATTGCCCAGTGCTTTCAACCATTGCTTCCAGTGTCATAATGTTATTATTATGATGCTCTTTCAGTTAGTTGAACAGTGATTTACATTATGTTTCAGTCTATAATCTAATCCATGCAAACTAACACACTCCTAAAGTGCATTTTCATGTCATGTGACGTAACAACTCATTTGCATACAGAGGTTTATGACTTATGTGACACATTGCAGCTGAAGTGTACAAATCTGCAGTTACATTTACATCAACACACCTTCCCTTACTTTTTAGCTTTTACTTTATACTTCTGGGAAAATACTTATACAGAGGCAATTATACATTTTTACAATTCTGGCAGCAGCAACAGCAGTTGGCTGGGAATTAATGGAGGAAGAGTAATTAGCATGAGCAGCAATAAGCACCATGACTCAACAGGAAGAGAAATGTATGCCACCTACAGAAACGTACATTTCATTAACTGAGAAGAGTGTAAAGTGATCTTTTTGGAGGTGCAGTACAAAAACAACACATCAGTAGGCAATGTATGGATACCACTACTGGTTCAAGGAGTGCTACAGATGTTAATGAGCCATTTTGCAGTAGGTGACAGGTGTCAGGTGCATGATAGCTTCCTGGAATCCTGACAGTCCATTATGAGGCACTTCTCACTCTTTCAGCCCCTGTGTTTCAAATGTATAACGACGACGTGTTATCATTATTAGCAACCCTCATTAAAACTAATTGGTATTACTATTTGAAAGGTAGCTCATTACCTTGAGGCAAACAGCAACGTTTTTGTCTCAATAAGGAATGCTAACATGGCAAACACATTTATTCAGTGTTAGAAATCCAACACAGACATTTCCCCCCTTCACATTCTGACAAATGGCTGATGAGGAAAAAAGGCCAGACTGAAATTCAAAATATCAAGGTTCCATACATGGAAAGTCTTTCTTACCCTCTGGATCCATGTGGACAGACACACGTGATGGGCAAGTAAATTCTTGCAGTCACAGAAATTCCTCAGTGGGTCACTGGCTTTGAGTTCAACATCCCTGCAAATAAAGCACTCTGACATCTCTGTAGAAGAAGAGGAGAAGATGGTTATGAACGGTTTAGCACTGATTTCACATTGCATCAAAGGCTAATTCATGTTCAGATTCACTGCTGCTCACGAAACTGTTAATTGACTCAAAATTTAACAAAACGTATTTTCTTTAGAGTAAGACCTTTGCAAATACTCCAACTTATACTGCAACGTATTTCCTATTACAGCATTCAACACTCACTGTACAGCTCCCTCGAGCATTAGACCTTTATTTTGTTCCCACTGGGAGTGTGGCAAAGTGAATCTGGGCTTTAGAAGCAATTGTAGCAGGTTGACATTCCTGACAAGACATTTAACACAACAGTGCCAGAAGTGAGAATGACAATGAGAAATGAAATTTAAATTTAAAGATTATTTTCACTAGAATTTTGTCTGTTATTTGGTTTGTTTTCTCCTTTGCTAGTAGTGCCATTATTTGATTCACACGTAGAATAAGAAGCAGGTATAGATTATTTTTCTTCATTCTGTTAATTCAGAACAAAATGATGTAATAATTATTAAAGCCTCAGAAGAAGATTTTGCACATTGGCTCCCCCAGATGTCAGAGGTCATCAGACTGAATTCTCAATACCCAGTAACTGCACATTTTCTGAGGACTGTGTCTACATTTTTACTGCTTTACTATGACCGAGCCTTTAAGAACTGTATGAAGATTAAATTGACAGGGCTTTACCAAATAACATAGTGGCTTACATTAGAATGGTTTTCTTGATAGGTTAAAAGCAATATAGAGAATACATATAAATCTAATCTGCCTCAATATAGAGATGACACAATAAAGTAAATGCTGTCCTCCCACATCATCCATACAGCAATCCCAGATGGGCCAATCTGTTATATGAATACAACAATATGGAGAGTTTGGAGATTTTAGTGGCTGGTATCTTCTTTAAATCACAATTTTCACAGAGTGGACTGCACTGTACGTTTGTTATTTTACATTGTGCAGTTTACCAGGGTTACCAAAACTGCAGTTGAGTCTACAACTCTTAGTAAGTTAAAGCAGCTCTGGCATCTATATGGTCAACCTATGGACAAATCAATACACACACAAAAAAAAAACCCAAAATAAGAGAGGTACAAGCCTGTGTCTCTCTAGTATATATATATATATATATATATATATATATATAATTTTTTTGCCTCCTTGAGACACTGATTGAAAATATTACACAAAAATATTAAACAATTTTCACCATATGAGTTGTTATGTAAAACGTGCTAGCAAACAGTTGTTTACACAACCAGTGACATTAGCATTCATTTGGAGTTGTGTTTCTGGCAACCTGGTAAATGCAAGGGCAAATCTAGAGAAGTGCCATAAAAAATGCATGGCCATCCCAGCTGCTACCCCAGTTTGGTGTCAAATGCTTTCAAATTTAACACATTAATCTAGATTAATTCCATTCTTAATATGGGGGCTTTTCCAAGCAAATATTGATTTATGTGATTGTTTGTGATTAAATCAGCATGATCGCCATGAATACTTTTCTAGATCTGACTCTGGGTGAATATAAATCCAACATTCACTACATTTAACTCTGGTTTGGTCTCTACCAACTCCTAAGGAATGGGTGAAGGTAGTACATAGTTAATCTGAGCATTTCGTTAAAAACTAATTGCTTCAAAAAGACAAAACAAAAAACAGGGTGCCCGGTTAGCTCAGTTGGTAGAGCTGGCGTCCCATGTACCGAGACTGAGTCCTTGCTGCAACTTTATTGTGTCATCTCTATATTGAGGCAGATTAGATTTATATGTATTCTCTATATTGCTTTTAACCTATCAAGAAAACCATTCTAATGTAAGCCACTAGGTTATTTGGTAAAGCCCTGCCAATTTAATCTTCATACAGTTCTTAAAGGCAAAAAACAGGGTGCCCTGTTAGCTCAGTTGGTAGAGCTGGCGTCCCATGTACCGAGTTCGAATCCAACCTGCAGCCCTT